TTTTCAAAAATATTTTAATATATATGCTGATTTGTTTCATTTATACTACTAGTTTTAGTTCTTTTAAAAGAAAGTTTTGTGTTAGCATCTGTTTGTTTCTTTTTTGTAAGAATTTTTTGGTCTAGTCTTGTTCACTGAGTAACTTCTTTGAAGATAATGATACATAATGTGCTAACTTTTGTTATTCTCTTTGTATTTTTATGAAATCTTGTCTTATTTTTTCATAAAAGAAAATGTTAATTTTTCCAAAATAGATCAATAGAATCACTGCAATAGAAACTATTAAAATTTTTATGAGAGTGAAAAGAGAAGGAGAAACTTAATGGGTTTTGAGAAAGAGTAACAAAGTTACAGGGCTCATACCATCACTGGAAAATTTATTATATATCTAGAGTAATTACAAGAGGGTGACAATGAACACAGTAAAAAACAAATCCACATGTGTACAGAGTTCAATTTTAAACAAATTACCTGTTTTCTTTTTTGTTGTTTAAATATTTATAAAATGTTTTATCAAGCCCTATAGTAGTAGTTACATATTTTTTCAGCACTATTAAGAAATATTTGACAAGTAAAATTTAAAAAGTGTAATTCACAGCATACACTATTATATTATTCTTTTTCTTTTTACACTAGATATTACAACAATCATTTTCACTAAAGTATTTCATTCAATGACATTTAAATCACTATTTTTGAAGCTATATTTAGGTCTTTTTATATTCCTTAAACAACTTTTATTTTTTGTTTCCATTCCTCTTTTACTACTTTTTCAATAAGATAGTACTCATAACATTCAATTTTCATTCCTGAGCGAATTTTAATCTGTTTGCTGTGTGCTGTGCTTGGCATTTATGACATCCTAATAAAAATAAAGGTTTTTAAACAAGACATTTTCACTTCTCAATCCCATCCTTTGTGATATAGTTTTGTATATTCCATGTATGCTTGTGTAATACATCACAATACAATATTATAATTTTATTGAAATGAATTATATTGTGAATAAACAATTAAGAGGAGACTTTTCTGATACAGCTGTAACTTCTGATGACTGTTGTTTTCACGATATGAACTTCCCTTAGTTTTGATCAGTTTATATGTTGAAGAGCTACTTGCATACATTTTGCCAATTTTTATTTATCTGAAAATGTCTTTACTTCATTATCATTTTTCAAAAGTTTTTTTTTCTGAATATAAAATTGCATGTCATTGGGGTTTATCTTTTTTAGTACTATACTCATCATTCCATTACCTTTCAGCTGATGAGCCACTGTTTCTGATGTTTTTGATAATGAGCAATTAACCTATATGGATAGCATTGCTATCCTGTATGCAACACATCTTTTTTCTCTGGTTGATTGTATATTGTGAAAACTTCTAAAGACTCAAGAAAATATTAGAACTTATTAGAATGCATAAATGCATTCAATAATGTTGCAGGATACAAAATCTACATATGAAAAGCAATCCTATTTATCCACATCAGTAGAAAATTACACAAAAATGAAAGCAAACTCATTTACACTACTCCCAAAATAAAAACCTAATAAAAAATTTAACCTGTGAAAGATGTCTACAGTGAAAACTATAAAACAGTGATAAAAGTAATTGAAGAGGGCACCACAATGTGAAAAAGTGTCCCGTGGCTCATAGATCAAAACAATTAAAATTATCAGAATGTCCATAAGGCCTAAAGTAGTCTACAGACTCAAAGCAATCCCTCCCAAAATTCTAAGAGAATTTGCCATAGAAATAGAAGAAAATACAAAAATTTATATAAAAATCATGAAAGACCCAAATAACCGAAGGAATCTTTGGCAAAAAGAACAAAGCTGGAGTTGTCATATTACTTGATTTCAGAATATAGCACAAAACTTTAATATCCAAAATAGCATTGTATTGGCAAAAGTCAGACACATAAATGAAGGCAGCAGAATAGAGACTCATATATATCTATGGACAGTCATATATCTATGCATCTATTGCCAACACATTTTTTTTTTCAGTACTGGGAACCAAACTCAGGACCTTGCACTTGTGAGGCAGGCATGGTGCCACTGAGCTAAATCCCTGGCCCAATGCCGATATATTTTTTTGACAAAGGTATCAAGAAAATACATGGAGGGAAGAAAACCTGTTCAATGGTAGAAGAGAATTGGACATCTACATGTAGAAAGATAAAATTAGATATCTATTACTCATCATATAAAGAAAAGGAATATAAAGTACATAAAAGATTTAAGTGTAAGACCCAGAATCTTGAAAGATTCTTACCCCTGTCCTCCCTTCACCCCCTCCTCCCCTCCCCATATACAAACACTTTATTTTCATCTTTTCATTATCTCACATTTTTTTCTTTTCCCTTATTACCCTTCCCCTACCCATCCCACCTTCCCTACACCTTTAGCTCCTTTCTTCCCATTTCTAAATGTCAGTAATCTTATTAGGATCTTATGTATTATTGCAGATTATTCACACCAGAGAAACTATTCGGTATTTACACATGTGTGACTTATTTATTTCACTTAGGAGTATATCTTCAATATGTATCCATTTTCCTATGAATGAATCTATTTTCTCGTTCTTTATGGCTGAAATGTTCATTAACATCTCCTTCCAGTCCTGATTTTTCCCTTATCTCCTCTGAGTGCTCACAGCTCAGGTATCAGCCAATGACTAGAAGCTCTTGGTCCCTGTCATTCCCTATCCTTTCTGAGATGCCCATCCTTAGATCACATCTGCCATTGTGGCATCTCTGCCTCTGGCACCTTTACGAGACTGTGGTTTAATAATGACTTCCCGCTGCCCTATGTGCTCCTGACCAAGAACTTTGCTCAGGAAATATCTGTAGGTATATGGACTCAAATCTTTCAAAATTGAAATCCTCTATAGCTTAATTATTTAGACCAGACTCCAGTACTTGAAATAGTTGTGGTTATAAAAAGGTATTCTTTGGATTTTGAACTTATGTTTATGAAGGTTAATGTTATACTAATGTCTTTTCCCGAATATCTTATAACACTCATGCATTTTTTCCTAAAGTAATAAAAAGAACAATAAAGCTTGCTGAGGATTGGAACACAGAGGTTTGTATAGTAAAAGATATCAAACATTGCAGTGGGCAAGAATCCGAGGTAAAGGGGTCCACTGAGAACTGCACCCCATGACACTGATGAAACACAATGCCTCCAGCCAGTAGTGATTTGGTGAAGTTTGCAATGACCTTTCAAAAATCACACCACATTTTTTCAACTGAGAGTATTTTTCTTAATTCAATAGAATAAAAGATATACTTGCGATGAAAGAAAATCTCCTGGTTCTTCCATAGAGTATTCTTACACAGGAAGCAAGAGAATGCAGGTACACGAGTGAGTCAGAAGCATGATCCACCTTAAGGATGCCTTGGGCAGGGATCCCATTCGATTGGTATGGATGCTCACTTCAGTGCAGATTGCTTCCCCCTATGCTAGGCTAGGGTGGTAGGGAGAGCCCTTGTGCAGAATTTTGACCTTATACTTTATCTCTAATAGCACTTCTAGCAACCCCTCTTCCCCTGGCATCAGAGTAGCAAGGCAAGCAATACAATCACACTTAGAATTCCAAGTCCTGGTCTGTGGCTAGAATCACCCTTAGTAAGACTCACATGACAAACCATCCCTTGCCACTCTCCTGAGCAAAGATCAGAGGCCCCAAGATTGCACTTCTGTGTCTTCCACTGACCATAACTCAAATTATTTTGCCTACAGGCATGAGCTATATTTCAAATTAGGGACAAAAAGAAATGTCACAGTTCCTTTAACAATCATGCCACAAAAATTGCTCTGGTGGCCTTTCCAAGACTAGGTCTAATTGATAGAACTAAGTAATGCATCTTCATTTCATTGAGGCAGTCCACTGATCAGTTTCCTAAGTGCCTGCCATGTGCCTGGTACAGGATAAGAATATAAGACAGTGACTATGCCAGCAATGAAACTGTAGTCGGTGTGAAAAAAAATATGTTAAAATTGAAGAAAGACAAAAGACATAGATGGGACAGAACAAGCCAACAGATCATCACAGTTCTTACTTTCAGATCAGTTCAGGACAAGACCCAGGACCTTAAGGCTAGGAGGCTTTGCTACAGGCTACCAGTGATGAGCTTGAGTGGAGGCAGAGACCTCTGGATCCTGTGAGGATTTGTTCCAAGAAGTCACCTGCCCCAAAAGGACTGAAAGCCCAATTCCTGCAAGAAGTCCCCCTTCTGTCTACATTGTCCCAGAAGTTTCATACATCCCTCCCTGCTAGTTATCTCTCAGTAGAAATAGTAAAGACATGGACCAAAAGAGCCTTCCTTGGCACCCAAGCTTCCCTGAGCTGAGTCATTGTTGACAGAAAAGCAGCTGGATGGTATTGTTGGTGGATGCTGGACATAAGGAAGGAAGAAAAACCTTTGACCATTTCACACTGCCCCACAGCCTGTTCACACCATAGACTTGGTGAGAGCACTGTCGAACTATCTCCTTACACGGTGCTAAAAATTGATAGCAGATAACTCTTAGAGTTATCTTGCTTACAAGAAAGATCTATCCTGCTAAAACTTTCAACCTCCTTCACCTGCCCAGCAATCCTAAACACATGCCAGCTATGCCTAAGGCAAAGAGACCCTTAGCTGTAAACGTACATGACAGACACAAAGTGGTATTTACCCAAAGCCTCTGTGTTATGGAAAACAGAGCAAGGCTGCTGAAAGGGCTGTGCCCATCTTTGATGATTTCTCGAATTCATTTAGTGCTTGTCTTTCACAGTTCCCAGGGACACCCGATCAATCATACCATGTCTGAGAGGTCAGGGGCTTTCCCAAGTCCAAAGTGAAGCAGTGTCAGAGCTGTTCCCCACTTATTTACATGGAAAGTGTCCTCAGCATACAGGACATGGCATTTTAAGGAAGTTATGCCCTCAATCACACCTGTCCACCCCCCATACTGGGCCACAATGGGGTTGCTGATGTCTGGTGACGCTCAGCTGCAGGACAGAAGTCTCCTGAGTGCTACTTTGACATCCTTGTTCCTCAGAGTGTAGATGAGGGGGTTCAGGGTGGGTGCCACAGACGTGTAGATGACCGACACCCCCTTGTCCTTGTTCAGTGTGAAGCTGGATGCAGGACGGATGTAGGTGTAGATGACAGTGCAGTAGTACACAGAGACCACCAGCAGGTGGGAGGAGCAGGTGGAGAAGGCTCTGCGCTTGCCTTCAGCAGATGGGATGCGGAGGATGCTGATGACAATGAAGATGTAGGAGAGGACTGTCACAGAGAAGTTCCCCACAGCCAGGAACACATCTGCTGCAAAGGCCATAGCTTCATTCAGGTGAGTTGGGGAGCAGGAGACTTTCAGAAGTGGGGGGATCTCACAGAAGAAGTGTTCAACCACATTGGACCTGCAGAACTGCAGACTCATGGTGAGGCAGGTGTTGATTGAGGTGTTGGTGAGGCTGATGGCCCACACGACCCCAGCCAGGAATGCACATGCCCGGGGCCCCATCATGCCACTATAGTGCAGTGGCTGGCAGATGGCCATGTAGCGGTCATAGGCCATGGCTGAGAAGAGCAGCAGCTCAGCCCCCATTGACCACGTGAAGAAGAAGAGCTGTGCCATGCAGCCCCCATAGGAGATGGTCCTCCTTGCCAACATGCTGCTCAGCAGCTTGGGCAGGATGGTGGAGGTGCAGAGGATGTCCACCAGGGCCAGGTTAAACAGAAAGAAGTACATGGGGGTGTGCAGAGCTGGGCTGGCAATGATGGCCACCACAATTAGCAGGTTTCCTGAAAGGGCAGCTGTGTAGAGGCAGAGGAAGGTGGAAAAGAGAAGCATTTTCAGGCTAGGCCTTTGGGAGAATCCCAAGATGAGGAACTCGGTGACCAGTGTCTGATTCATCCCAACACTGTGTGTGCACTGGAGCTCCACGGGGGAAACTCTGCTGCCTTCGTAGCTATCACAGGGTCTGTTGAGCAAAGGTGCTGAGATTTCAGCTCATTCTGAAGAGCTCACCCCTCAGCCACTTAGAGGCAATGTTTCAAGTGGGTCATGGGGATAAAAACAGAGCTCTGAGCCTCCCAATATGACAGGGAGAGCCACTGCTGCCAGCTGTGGTGAACTTCCCTACCCACCACCTATTCCAGTGAAACTGAGGTGAGGTCACCCACAAACAGGGGAACTTGAGCTACAGTTGAGTTCAGCTTCATCCTTGTCCAGCCTCCAGTAGGTATGAGTATAGTAGGGAGAGATTTACAAGATATCTCCAGGTAGTTTAAGTTCTGTTTCCTCTTAGAATATTGCACCAGTTTTGTTTAAAGCACACTTGGGAGCTCAGATAGATGAGAGGTTAGGAAAAAACAAAACATAAAATGCTGCCACTTCATCTGGTCACATCCAAGCAGCACCATGGGTCAAGTGTCCTCACAAAGACTTGTTCACTCATCATCAGACACTGCTGTCGCTGTCCGCTGAGGTGTCACTACAGCTAGAGGGGCAAGGCCAATTTATAGAACTAAGCCTTCTCCACACCAGTGCTGTGCAATCCCCACACCTCCTCCTCCTCACATTTGGATCCTAGCCAAACTCTGCAGCTGTTTATAAATACCCACTACATAAACCAAAATCCCAGGCCAAATTCCATGTGCCAAATTCCAAATAAATACATAAGAGCAGATTGTTTGGATGTTTTGACAAATTATTCTTTAAACTTAAGGGTACTTGTGCTTGTTTTCAAATCTTACATTTGCACACATGTCACTAGATTATATTCACTAATTTAAAAGATTATTTTCATGTACCTTTATAAAGCTGGGGTCATGATAATCTATTTCCAGGTCTTGGTTTAGATATAATCTCACCTCATGCCTTGCTTAGGGGCTTTGTTTGAGAAGTAGACAAAGTTCACAGGATATTATAAGGACATGTTCCAGTCGAGGTGGCTAGAGAATAACAGACCTGATTGTCACCCATGGGAGTGTCCTCATAGGCAGACCAAGTACTGGTGTACTGATACATATCAACCAGGGATCTGTTATACTGAGGAAGAGACTGAGAGAGAATAACATAAAAACGTTGTCTGCTGCATTTTGCCCAGTTTGTTCATTTTTCTTTTGCACGTAGTTATAGAACTTTCACCCTTAAAACCAACACTCGGAAAAACCTCATGGCTTGTAGTAATTTTCATAAAAATGAAAATACCATTTTCAAAATATGGTTATTTATATTCAAACATATACAATAGATAGAATCAACATCCTAACAGCAGGTGCTTACAAAAAAAATGGTAAATTTCTTCTTGGAATTCCTGCTGTCCACTGAAGAAATTTGCTTTTCACTACCACCAAAAAACAAAACGTAGTCATCAGCTTTCATTAGGAAGCAAAATTGCTTTAAAATAAAAATTAAAAAGAGTGAGGTAGGTGATATCTGTTAGGATGAGTGAGGACAGCAAGATACCACAGGCTCTATATCATCTGTAATAGCTAAACAAGTGCTCCCAGTGAAAGGCCGTAGGCCTGCAGGGACCAATTATTCAGAAACACCTGCCTCACTTGGAGAAACCATGCCTGCATTCAGGACCCTCTGGGGAAGCTGACCAGTGCCTTGGGACAGATGCAGTCCTTCCGAAAGAACTCAGCAAGACTGGTGCTCCCTTTCTGGGGCAAAGCTGGTTCTCTACACTACCTACTTCCAGGGATAGGCTTCCACCAGCCTTGTCCATGACTAGGGAAGGGTTCAGAGAGCTGACAGGTCAGGAGATGAGATGTTCATGACATTAATCATCCAATGAACCACCTAAACCATGGTTTCTGCTCTAGGCAGAAGCACACATAATTCCAAGGCCAGAGCACTCTTCCAATCCTGACACCTAGTCAGCAGTATAGACTGCTCTCAGGCATCACCAGGATCAACCTCCTTGGAGTGGCTGATGGTCATTTGTGAAGGCTACCATTGAGTGTGGCTGTCAGCACTCAGTTTTTCAGCCTCAATTTTTTACACAGTAACCTAATACACATGTCACCTGATCATGATGATGGCTGCAATTTATCTCCAGCTTGTCTAGTTTTAGAACAACAGAAACTGTCTTGCCCTGGGAAGATGATGCTGACATGGGCTAGCATGGACCTGGCACTAACAGGCTGCTCTGTGCCTAGAAAGGTCATCTTAGTGTTTCTTTTCAGGGACCCGAGCCATTTGATATGGAAACATGACTGGCTGGACATCAGTTTCTCTCAGACAGTGACATACTGCAGGCCTTTGCTGGATATCTCAGCTCTGGCAGGACCATGGTTGGGGTCCACTTTGATCTTTACCTACCATGCCTCACTACAGTGGAGTGGTGCCTTAATCTTCCACTGAGGGATGCAGAGATACAGTTAGCATGTCACTAGGCTACTTACACAGATGGGAGGACAAGGTGTGTTCATTTTTCATTGCCTTCCTTTAATCTCTCACCCTGCTTCTACCTACGCACTGCACAAACTTTAACTGCTGAAATCTGTGTGCATCAAAACCAGCACTTCTGATCCTCACATGCCATTGCAATATGGGGCCAACAATCTGTTCAGTCATTAGAAATTATCACAACAGGTGCTAGGTGCATCTCAGGATGCAGAGTTGGGCTGGCCCTAACAGTGTCCTTTCTACCCCACCATCCAGCAAAAGGTATGGCCAGCACATTTATCAGAAAGGTGCAATGGTTCTATTCATTCCTTCCATATACCCAGATCCCTCTTGAGCTTCTGTGCAATGACAGGATCATGCACCGCTGCCACGTCACAGCATGTGAGGACAGGGACACATTCATGCTTCCATTGCAGGGCCTATAGCAATGACCAGTTGGCATGAAACAACAGAAGCCCAGCTCCCTTGCCTTTGACAACCTGATGCTTCTGCATTCCCTATGGGGTGAACCTAAGGCAGGAACTCTATTAAAATTACACTGATACTTGGCTTATTCTCCTTCCCTAACTGGCATCCCTGATGCTCCCCTGTGATAAATCCTTACACCCAGTACTCCTGTGAGAACCTGTCCCCCAGCACAATCTTCCAAAGGCTGCTGGTGGTGACTGATATGTGTTCAAGGGACAAACAACTCATAACTCACAAAGACAATAACACTGTTGGAAGCATATGTCCCAGGCAATGATGAATTTAGGGAGGAAGAGCCTTGTGGACTCCCCTTACCCCAAAGAGGTATTGCATGCTTTCCCAAGAGTGAAGTCCCAACAACTCCAAGTGCTTACACAAAGGTCTCTGATTCCACAATTACATTTGCTTGGGAGCCAATGCTACTTTCACTATCTGCTCCTTTTTGTGCCAGTGTCTCCTTTCAGGAGACTGGGTGGGGACATGTCAGGGTGCAATCAGGCTCTGGAACTTGCCCATTTGGCCTCTTTACTTCAGCTATAGCAAAGAGCTGGTATCTGTGGTCTTGTCAAATATGTAGTTAATCCTTCAGTTCACACAAAAGCCACGAGTATAATCTGCTGCTCAGTATCAGACTTCCCAGGAAAGACATATGCATGTTACTCTTTCAGCAGATCCTCACACAGAGGTGCCAAGTATCTTGTATCATCATGCTTGGTGCACATATGGCACAGGAGGTCCTCACAGATGCATTCAACATCTACATTCTAGTGTGCCTAGATTCCAGTGTAGAGGACACTCATTTGTTCAACTGATATTCACTGAGTGCCTCCTGAATATTAGTTATGGCTGTAGATGCTGGGCATAAACCCTGAGCTGAAAAATAAAGTGGTAAAATGTAAAAGTAAGTAAACAGGAAAATAATAAAATATCAATAAGTAAACAGAACAGATTCAGATAAAGATCTGTGATCATGAGGAAACAAACAGAATAATGTGAAGTGACTATTGGAGGAAAACTCCCAGAAAAAGATAAGGAAAGACTGTGAGGTGACATTTAGTCTGAGACCTGATTGTCAAGGTTCCAACCCAAAGGTAGAGGCAGCAGTGGGGATCTGCAGGCACCACTGATGGACAGAAGGCTGGAGAGTCTGAGGGTGAGGAGGGGGAGAATAAGAAAACAGACTATGAAAGGAAGCTGCATTACAAAGGATGTTGAAGAATTTGTGTGGAGTCCGAATTTGTATATAATGTAAAAATAATCAATTTCTTTGCATCTTAGATGATATTCTAGGTAAAGGAGAAAGGTCACCAGGGAAGTGACTTGTTGATCTTCAAATATGTGCGCTGTAGGTCAAGCCTTCTATATCTCTCTGTTACACAGGTCCAGAAGATCCAGGACATTTATACCCAGGTTCTCTCTAGCTTTCCTATGTGGCCCCCAGGACACTCAAACCAAACTTTGGACAAGAATGTAAAGTGGGTGTGCCCTGAACTGTGCCCTTGTACAGGAGTTTCTTCATAGCCAGGCTTACCAGGGGATCTACCTGGACAAAGATGGAGCAGGATTCCAGATTGCTCAGATCTTTGTAGAATCAGCTCCTGAGCACCATCAGTTCTAGAACACAAGAAGCTACCCTCAGAGTGTGGAACAGGATTTCTTATCCCATAAGACTTCTAAACTGCACTTGCTGTCACTTGATAGGTGCCATACATAGAAGTTACCTGGTACATAGAATCTGGAAACATTGGATCAAGCTTGTAGACAAGGGTGCACATGCTGTGGGACCTTTCAGAATCTAGTTGTTACTGCCTCAAGGGTTTGATAGAGAATTAAACACTTTTTTTTTCTAAGGTTTTGGTCACAACTTTGCCTTTCATTGAACAGTTTCCATCTATTCAATTTGGAATAAAAGTCAGTCTAAGGCTAGACACTGGCTTCCATAGCATGGTAAGGAGTGGTAAGGAGTGAGAGGAAAGAAAACAAGGCTTTCAGACTCAGCCCAAGATGTAAACCCAGGTGTGACGAGG